ATTTGGAATTATAGGAATTAATCTAAATACAATAAAATAACTGAAATTGTTTGTAAATCAATAAAATTTTTTGATTACTGTTTTTTTTAGAATTACTAATTTTTATTTTTTTGTTCAAAATTACGTAGTTTCTTAGAACTAGTGGAATTACGCAAATGAAACTGAAATTAAGTTGGAATTACAAGAATTAATTTGGAATTACAGGAATTACGATGAATTATTGTAATTACTAAAATTTTGTTAGAATTAGAATTTTTTGGAATTACTGGAATACTTTTTGGAGTTACCTACCTATAAAAAATAATTTCTTTTCAAAATTCCGTTGAAGTTCTTATACCTAATTATCGGAATGAATGTAAAATTACAGAAATTATTTTGGAATTAAAAAAATTAAGTTGGAATTAATTTGGAATTACAAGAATTAATCTAAAACAATGAAGGTACGATGGATTATTACAATTGCTAGAATTTCGATGAAATTTTTTAGAGTTTTTAGAATTAATTCTTTACAAAATTACGTTAAATTTTTTAAAATTATCGGAATTACGATGGATTTCCGGAATTATTAGAATTTTTTTGGGATTATTGAAATTTTTTTCAAGTTAACGCCCCCCTGAAAAAATAATTACGTAATTTGCAATAATCGACTTGGTACGTGGTTCTGAGTCGGTCCCGATTGATCCTCGAAATCAAATCATCAGGGGGCGCATTCCTCAAACACTCATAAATATAGGGGAATTTCTCTTTCAGTTTTTGCAAATAAACATTAGGTTGGCTAAACCGGCTGACTTGTGACTCAGGACTCGCCCCAACTTTCACAGGGTAGACTTTAGGGTCGAGAAGGGGGCCCATGGGCCCCAAACGACTCCATGCAGCTTCGGATTGCTCAAGCCCCACTTGTTTAGTTTTCTCGATTTTGGGACAGTGGCACTCACACGAGAGGTGGTCCCCAGCTTCGGGCAAAACCGGGGTTATCCTGAAACCCAAATTATAATTTTTTTCAAAAAAAAAATGACATTACTTAAGTCCATATGTTCGCACATAAGGCCAAATGTAGTCTTTTCTGTAAGTGGTCTGAAACTGATCGAGAACCATTGCGAATTTTGAACAAAAATTTTTATTAAACTGAAATTTTGACACAAGTTTTTGACAAACATGAATGATTGATTAAGTTTGAGGTTTTTGGATGCTTTTTTCCAAGATAAACTCCCCAAAGGTGCCAATGTGGTCGGTGTATTCGCTGATGTAATGGCTACAAGCGAGGTTTCCTAAAAAGATAAAATTTTCGTGATTTTTGTCCTGAAATTATTGCCTAGGATTTAGGGATATTCGTGAATAGGTTGCCATAAATTTGGTTAGGTTGGTGACAAAGTAACTAGTGTCAAAATTTAGGTTAAGTCAACTGTCAATCTGACAGAAAACGTCAACCGTCAACAACAAAGGGCAAAAATTCTAGTTACAAACAACATGAAAAACGTAATTTTCCTAAAAGTGGTAATTTCTTGTTGACAAATCAAATAAATACCATGCGTGTGTAGGGTGTTGGGGGGTATGATAATAAGGGGTGGTCTTAAAGCCTTCGTCTGATCCCTGAAATAAATCCCATAAGTCGTTAACGGTATTTCAGCATCATCTGGTAAAGTGAATTTCCTCCTTCGTTTATCCAAATTAAATTCAATATCTTTTTCAATATCACAAAAACTCGTCTGGTATTCAGTGACCGCCCCTCTAGTCATTTTATTCTTCATTATGGCATCTTTATCTAACGGTTCTTGAAAATGCGTTTTTGCAATCCCTTTGTATTTTTCTTTAAACTAAAAAAACCGTTAATGTAATGATCCAGACTTTGTATACAAACTTTTTCCAAGTATTTGTCCCCATTTTCATTCGGTGGTGTCAAATCTGTTTCATCTAGGACCAAAAACTGCCTAAAACCCTCACTGATGGGGTCCTCAAACTCCTGTTTTTGTGCCTTTGCCCGTCGACTTGAACAAAATTGTAAGAAAAGGGAAAAACACAAGGGCAAAGTACTGGTTTAGCGGTTTTTTCACGAAATCCTTCATGTACGTCGACAAAAAAGTGTATTTAATCTTGTCCGAACCCATTTTTTACTTTTACAAGAATGACAGCGGAATTTTGAAATTTGCTGGTGACTTTTGTTCTGTACCATTGGTAGCTCAAGGAACACAAACCTAATTAATAACTTTAATTATCGGTTTTTTTGCAAAATAATTATTTCCATGCGTGCCTTAAAATGTAAATCTAATTTTATCCAAATTCATTTTTCATTTTGCAAGTGTGAGGGCAAAATTTTAATATTTGCTAGTGATTTTTATTTTGTACTATTGCTAGCACAAAGTAATTAAAGATTAATAATGGAAAGACGTACAAGATAGTTATCTCTTTTTAACTTTTGTAAACAGCATTGTTGCTCTCTCGCTACGTATTTGCATAAGTCAGTCACGCTATTTATCTCACTTTAGCAAATGCGATTAAAGTAACGTAGAACTATTGACGTACGTCTAAATTGTAAGCAAGCTATTTTTAATGAGGAACCTAATATTTATACACTCTATATCATCATAATAATCGTAATTAAAGCATTGTAAAAATCGTAATGCTTTAATTTTTGACTTTAGTACCAAACAAAAGCTGTCAAATGTCAAAACACGGAGGTCATGTCGTATTCTTGATTCACACTACCCCCATCAGCAAATAAATTGTAATATCCTTATTGTATCAATTTTTTTACAAAATCGTTTCTATACGTAAACATGTCCTCAAAAAAGTATGGTTAATTCTATTCTAAACACTTTTATCACAAAATTTTCAAATTTGCTAGTGACTTTCATTTTGTACCAGTGGTAGCTTAAGAAAAACACACGTGAGTACCAAATATTTTGCAAAATTCTTTTTATACTTAATTTTATTGTAACCAGTTTTTGAGATTTTCAAGCCCGGTCCAAATTTTTTTGTTGGTGAATTTCGTCTTGTCGGGTTGGCGACACTACTCCCACCATCACACGTCAAAAATGTCAACACGTCAAAAATAATCAAAAAATGGCAAAAATGCAAGAAGTCCCGACTGACGAACTCTTATCGTTTCACGATTACCCCTCAGTGCACTCCCCCAACCCTCAAAACACGGCCCAATTGCCCATAAATCAAGATTTTAACAATTCCCAGGAGAATGAGTCTGGAGCCCCCTTGGACGAGCCAAGTGAGTAGTTTCGCGACAGTTTGAGCGTCCTAATGGTGCGTTTTCAGGTGCCCAAAAATCGTTTTGGACCCTTGAGTACTACCAGCAGTTTTTCGATGTGGAGACACGAGACGTCCTGGACCGAATAATAGCCTCCATAACCCCGAAACGGGACACTTCGCTGAAGCACCACCTTCGTGACAAACCCGACTTGTACGGCCCCTTCTGGATTTCCGTAACTCTCATTTTTACCATTGCAATTAGTGGAAATATCGCCAATTATCTCCAACACACAAACAGCCAATACCATTGGAAATACAACTTTCAGTTAGTTTCATACGCCGCCACGGCGATTTACATTTACGTCTTGTTAATTCCCTTCGCATTGTGGGGCTTGTTGAAGTGGAGTTCGGATGTGAGCGATTTGGAGGGCTTGGAAACGGGGACCACTCCAAGTGCCCTCGAACTGATTTGTATTTACGGTTATTCGTTGTTTATCTACATCCCAGCGTCGATTTTGTGGTCAATTCAGATCAATTTGTTGCAATGGGGGCTTGTTTTAGTCGCTGCGGTGGTCTCAGGGGCTGTTTTGTTGTTCACTTTGCTCCCAGCTTTGAGACTTTCGAGACATAAGATTTTTCTCATGATTGGGATAGGGGGCTGCCATCTGCTGTTAGCAGCAGGCTTCATGCTGTATTTCTTTCACGTACCTAGCGCCCCACTTGAGCATCATCAGGATTTAGTAAAAAATATAACACTCAAGTCAATTTAAATTTATTTGTAATTGTAACACTAAATTAATATACAATTAATTCTAGTCTAATTTTGAATTTGGTGGTCAAAATAGAAGTAATTCTCACACAAAAACTGAGTAAATCGCTCGAAATATTAAAATAACAGCAATTTCGTTCAAATGTGGCGGTTTTTCGTCTTTTTTTAACGAAATCTTGCGAAAAAAAAGTTAAATCCCTTACAATAACGTCAATATTAAAATAATTTGGTCATTTTCAAATAGTTTTAACAAAATAAAGAAAGTTTTTTAGTTAAAAGTAATCTCACTAAATAAATGAGTTTCTCGCTCAAAAGCAGACTAAACCCTTTAAAATAGCGTCAATTTTAAAATAATTTGGTCATTTTTTCGAATTGTTTTGACGAAATTACATGAAATAAGAGCATTTTTTAATGGAAAAAAAACAACGGGGTAAATAGCTCGAAATAGACCAAAAGACTTCAATTTCGATAAAATGTGGTGTTTTGGTGAAATCTCTCTCACTCAGAAAAACAGGCTAAAATAGCGGCAATTTTAAAATAATTTTGATATCTTTTGAGGAAATTACAAGCAAATCAGATACTTTCGCACTGAAAAACGCCAAAAATAAGGTCAATTTCGAACAAATTTGGTTGGTCATTTTTCGTCTTGTTTGGACAAAATCTCACGAAAAAAAGAGTTTTTCGTTGAAAAACAAGTCAAAACCCCCAAAAAAGCATCAATTTTATCATATTTCGAATTGTTTTGACGAAATTTCATCAAATAAAAGAGTTTTTTTTTTCTCAAAAATAGAGTAAATTGCTCGAAACTAACTAAAATAATGCCGTTTTCGATAAAATTTGGTGATTTTTCGTCTTATTTGGGTGAAATTTTTTGAAATAAATGGGTTTCTCACTCAAAAAAACAAGATCTTCAAAACGACATGCTAAAATAGTAACAATTTTAAAATAATTTGGTTATTTTTTGACTTGTTTTGACGAAATTATAAGAATATGTGAGTTTCTCACTCAAAAACGACAAAAATTCGGTGGTTTTGAACACAATTCTACGAGAAACTCTTTCTCGCTTAAAAATCAACTAAATCCCTCAAATAGCATCAATTTTAAAATAATTTGGTATTTTTTTGAATTATTTTGACAAAATTACATAAAATAAGAGAGTTTTTTTACTCAAAAACGGAATAAATTCCCCGAAACAGACTAAAATGACTTTAATTTCGATAAAATTTGTCAATTTTTCGTCTTGTTTGGACGAAATCTCACAAAATTAAGGCCAATTTTGAAGAAAATTGGTGTTTTTTTGTTGTTTGGGGATTTGGATTTAGAGATTTAATTTAATATGGACAAAATTTGTGCCAGCAGTTGCGGTTATACAAATTAGGCAAGTTCAATATTTAGTTCAATTAGGTGGAAATTTTTTAAATTTAAATTAAAACTTTTTAGGTGAAAGTTTCTCACACAAAAATAACGCCAATTTCGACGAAATTTTATAATTTTTTGCCTTGTTTGGAGGAAATCTCGCCAAATAAATGAGTTTCGCCCTCAAAAACAAACTAAATCCCTCAAAATAGCATCAATTTTAAAATAATTTGGTCATTTTCAAATAGTTTTAACGAAATTATTTTTTACTCAAAAACTGGGTAAATGAATGTAAGTAAGGTAAGTAAAATTTTGTGATTTTTCGTTTTAGTTAAACGTAATCTCATTAAATAAATGAGTTTTCGCACAAAAACAAGCTAAATCTCTTGAAACAGGCCAAAATATTATCAATTTTTATCCAATTTGGCTATTTTAAAGCCGGCTTTGACAAGACTTTGCGAAATAATGATAAAATTTGGCCATTTTTTGACTTATTTTGATGAAATCCCAATAAATAAGAGATTTTCTCACACAAAAATATAGTACATCGTTCGAAACAGAAAAAATGAGGCAAATTTCGATCAGATTTGGTAATTTTTCGTGTTGAAATACGTGAGTTTTGACAAAATTACATGAAATAAGAATATTTTTTACTCAAAAATGGAGTAAATTGCTCGAAACTAACCAAAATAATTCCGTTTTCGGTAAAATTTGGTGATTTTTCGTCTTATTTGGGTCAAATTTCTTGAAATAAATGGGTTTCTCACTCAAAAAAACAGATCTTCAAAACGACATACAAATAGTAACAATTTTAAGATAATTTGGTTATTTTTTGACTTGTTTTGATGAAATTATGAGAATATGTGAGTTTCTCACTCAAAAACGACAGAAAATTCCTCTTGTTTGAACACAATTTGACGAAAAAAATAGTTTCTCGCTTAAAAACAAGCTAAATCCCTTAAAATGGGATCAATTTTAAAATAATTTTAATATCGTTTGAGGAAATTACAAGCAAATCAGATAGTTTCTCACTGAAAAACGCCAAAAATAAGGTCAATTTCGAACAAATTTGATCATTTTTCGTCTTGTTTGGACAAAATCTCACGAAAAAAAGTTTTTAGTCCAAAAACAAGTCAAATCCCCCCAAAAAACGTCAATTTTATAACAATTAGGTCATATTTCGAAATGTTTTGACGAAATTTCATCAAATAAGAGAGTTTTTTTACTCAAAAACGGGTAAATTGTTCAAAACAGATCACAATGACCCTAATTTCGATAAAATTTGGTAATTTTTTGTCATGCTTGAGTGAAATCTCACAGAATAAATGAGTTTCTCGCACAAAAACAAGCTAAACCCCTCAAAATAGCGTTTTAAAATAATTTAGTAATTTTTCGAATTATTTTGACAAAATTACATGAAATAACATAGTTTTTTTACTCAAAAATGGTGTAAATTACTCGAAACTAACTAAAATAATGCCGCTTTCGGTAATATTTGGTGATTTTTCGTCTTACTTAGGTAAAATTTCTTGAAATAAATGAGTTCCTAACCAAAAAAAAACAGATCTTCAAAACGGCATGCTAAAATAGTAACAATTTTAAAATAATTTGGTTATTTTTTGACTTGTTTTGACGAAATTAAAAGAATATGTGAGTTTCTCACTCAAAAACGACAAAAATTTGGTGGTTTTGAACAGAATTTCACGAGAAACTCTTTCTCGCTTAAAAACCAACTAAATCCCTCAAAATGGCATCAATTTTAAATTAATTTCGTAATTTTTCGAATAATTTTGACAAAATTGCATGAAATAAGAGAGTTTTTTTTACTCAGAAACGAAGTAAATTCCTCGAAACAGACAAAATTGAATTTAATTTCAAAAAAATTTGGTCAATTTTCATCTTGTTTGGACGAAATCTCACAAAATAAATGAGTTTCTCGCTCAAAAAAATGCTAAGTCCCTCGAAACAGGACAAAATAACGCCAATTTTGAAAAAAATGGTGTTTTTTTGTTTGAGTTTTTCACTCAAAAACAAAAATAAGGCCAATTTCGATCAGTTTGGTGATTTTTGGTTTTGTTTGGACAAAATCTCACGAAGAAAAGAGTTTCTCGTGCAAAAACAAGTCAAATCCCTCAAAAAAGTATCAATTTTATAATAATTTATAATTTTTCGAATTGTTTTGACAAGATTTTATGAAATATAAAGTTTTTTTTACTCAAAAACGAAGTAAATTGCTCAAAACAGATCAAAGTAACTCACAAAAGTAATCTCACGAGAAATGTAAGTAAGTAATCTCACAAAAAATGAGTTTCTCGCTCAAAAACAAGCTAAATCTCTCGAAACAGGCCAAAATAGCATCAATTTTCATCCAATTTAGCTATTTTAAAGCCTGTTTTGACAAAACTTTACGAAATAATAAATCAAATGTGACCATTTTTGTAGTAAATCGTTAGAAAAAGACAAAAATGAGGCAAATTTCTATCAGATTTGGTAATTTTTTGTGTTGTTTGGACAAAATCTCACAAAAAAGCTAATTCCCTCGAAACAGGCCAAAATAGCATTAATTTTTTTAAACAATTTGATTATTTTTGACTAGTTTTGATGAAATTACAAGACAAAAAGAGAGTTTTTTACTCAAAAACGACAAAAATAACACCAATTTCAATCAAATTTTATGATTGTAGCCTCGTTTTTAGACAAAATCTCACGAAATAAATGAGTTCCTCGTTTAAAAACAAGCTAAACCCCTCAAAGTAGCGTCAATTTTAAAATAATTTGGTCATTTTTTGAATTGTTTCGACAAAATTACATGAAATAAGAGAGTTTGTTACTCAAAAATAGGGTAAATACCTCGAAACAGACCAAAATAATTCCCCTTTCGATAAAATTTGGTGATCTTTCGTCTTATTTGGGTGAAACTTCTCGAAATAAATGAGTTTCACACTCAAAAAAAAAACAAAATCCCTCGAAAGCGACAATTTTAGAATAATTTGGTTATTTTTTTGCCTTGCTTTGACGAAATTATAATATGTTAGTTTCTCCCTCAAAAACAACAAAAAAGGGCAAATTTCGATTATTTTGGTGATTTTTCGCCTTGTTTGAACGAAATAAATGAGTTCCTTGCTCAAAAACAAGCTAAACCTCTCAAAATAGCGTCAATTTTAAAATAATTTGGTAATTTTTTGAATTGTTTTAACAAAATTACATGAAATAAGAGAATTTTTTTTAATAAATTACTCGAAACAAACCAAAATAATGTCGCTTTCAATCAAACTTGGCGATGATTCGTCTCCCTTGAAATGGGTTTCACTCAAAAAAAAACTAAATCCCTGAAAGAGGCTAAAATAGTGACAATTTTAAAATGATTTGTTTGACGAAGTTATAACATATGTGCATTTCTCACTCAAAAACGACGAAAATAGGAAAATTTCGATCAATTTCGTAATTCTTGGTCTTGTTTGAGACAGGATTTAATAAAAAATAAAACACTCAAGTCAATATAAATTTATTTGTAATTGTAACACTAAATTAATATACAAATATAGTAAGGGTTTGATCATATCTCAGAAACTGTGACTCCAAATAAGCAAAATGATATGTCTGACACAAAAATAAGACAAGTCACAAGTTTCACAATAATTATTCAACATGGGATACGGAAAGGCACAACTAAATCTTCCTTATGCTCGACTTTAATATCATTAATCGCAATGGCTGCTTTCTCAAGAGCTTCAGTTATCTGCAAAAATGAAATAATCAATAGTAGATTACATGCACGGTGGGAATGTACCACACTTGATGTTGTATACTATTTTCGTAAATTAAAAAAAAGAAAAAATCGAGTTACCAAAATCCTGTCGTCTGCACTGATTGGTTCAGATTGCAGGATTTTCTCCGTCCAGGGGATGTCCTCCAGGATGCAAGTTTTAAGCCTATTTGTTAATTTGTTCTTTTTGCTTGCACAAACTTGTTGCACTTTAATATTATATTGTTTCATTCTATCGAGATACTCGTGTTGTTGCAAGTTGTGTGAGTCTAAAGCGGCCACATCTATGACATTCCTGCAAAAAAAAGTGAAAATTTTATTTTTTTTTGATGAGGGACCGACGTTGCCGTTTCTTGTAGTATCCTATTCAGTGCAGATTGTTCGTCAGTCTTTTTTGGGGCAGATTTCGAGTTGTGACACAGTAAGTCCTCGCTGGAACAGGAAAATTGCAACACTGCCAAGTCAATTATTTTAATTACCTATTTACTCTTTGTATGTTTGTGTTGTTTGACACGGGATCCACAAGGAGATGGGTCCTTTCGTTCGGGTCACCATGCTAGGGGTTAAATTTGGTTATTGTTGTTGTGGTAGGAATTGTTGTTACCTGAGATGAACCATCATCCTTGCAAAAAAAACTATAACAGCACCCCATTTTTGAAAATATAAGTGGTTTTAAACGCAATTTAGATCATGAAGACCAGTTTTTGTCACGGTTAATGTTAATAACTTTGTATTTTATTTACTATCACAAAACACAAAATGACATTGTCAAAACGTTGACACTTGACAGGTGATTACCAATTCCTGTATTATCGGCCTTTCGAAAATGTTAATTTAATTGGACACAATTAATTTTAAATACGAAATTAGTCCACAATTTTAATACAAGCAATGAAAATATTTGAATTCCAGCAGAATGTGACATTTATATTGACAGATGATTACAAAAAAATAAAAAATAAAGCAGTTTTTATTTAGAAATTTCTTCTTTACCGGCAGATTAAAATTTAAAATTGTTATTACGTAAAGCAAGGTAAACACTAAAAGTACACTTCTGGGCGGGGCTTAACAAAATAATTGTTTTTAAACAAATAAGTGCTTCCAACCTCTACATGCAACAATTATTTGTGTTATAACCGTAAAAAATTGCAGTTTAAATATAACAGTTTTCAAATGGTGTTCTTTTTTAGTTCTTTCTCAAATAATAAAGCAAATCTACAGGCCATTGCTTCTAAAAACTGTTTTTTTTTTATAAAGTGGACTCGTCCAAGACGAGTATTTCTAGGTTTCACCGCACTGTAATAAAAAAGTTTTGACAAATGATTACGATACTGCGTAATAATTTAAACTAATTGAAGTTTAATGCCATAATGCAAGTTTAAATAAGAAAATCTTCCAATTCTAATAAAAAAAAATTATTTTCATTTACAAATCCCTTTCTTACCGGCTGCGCAAAATTTAAAATATTTACTGTAGTTTGATTAAAAAAAAGTTATCAATGCAAGATTTATTTACAATACATCAATTTAGA